TTTTAAAAAAAAAAAAAAAAAAAAAAAGAAGCAAAGGACAAAAAATTAGTTCTGGCCCAGGCACACCACCAGCACCATGGGGCCTGCCTGGGAACTGGAGGCTTGGATCTGGGGACTGGACCCCACTCTCACTTCCAGGAAAACTGCACCAGCACTTCAGGGCCCACCCAGGGACCTGAGGTGTGGAGAAAGGGACTGGACCTCCCTCCCACAACCAGGCACAACATGCCAGCACCTCAGAGCCCACCCAGGGACCCAGGGCAAGGAGAAGGGGACTGGACCTCTCTCCCACAACCAGGCACACCAAGCCAGTGCCTCGGGACCCACCCATGGACCCGAGGCATGGAGAAGGGGACTGGATCACCCTCCCACAGCCAGGCACACCATGCCAACACCTTGGAGCCTGCCTGGGGACCTGAGGCAAGGAGAAGGGGAATGGACCTCTCTCCCACAACCAGGCACACCCCACCACTTCGGGGCCCACCTGGGACCTGAGGTGTGGAGAAGGAGACTGGACCTCCCTCCCACAACCAGGCACAACATGTCAGCACCTCGGAGCCCACCCAGGGACCCGGGGAATGGAGAAAGGGACTGGACCTCTCTCCCACAACCAGGTACACCAAGCCAGTGCCTTGGGTCCCACCCAGTGACCCGAGGCATGGAGCCAGGAACCAGACCTTCCTCCCACAACAAGGCACACTATGCCAGTACCTCAGGGCCCATCCAGGGACCCAAGGCAAGGAGAAGGGGACTGGACCTCTCTCCCACAACCAAGGACACCATGCCAGCACCTCGGGGCCCACCTGGGTACCTGAGTCATGGAGAAGGGGACTGGGCCCTCCTCCCACAACCAGGCACACTGTACCAGTACCTCGGGGTCTGCCCAGGGACCAGAGGCATGGAGGAGGGGACCAAACACACCCCACAACCAGGCATACCACCAGTGCCAAGGAGCATGCCAAAAACATCTCCACGTGGGTGGCCCACCACAGCCACCACAATAACCATGACTGCTGCAAAAGCAGCTAGACACCACAGCCATCATGTAGATGGTCCGGCAACCACTGGAGTGCATTCACACAAGAAGAGTCACCAGCAGAGACAAAGAAAAGAAGAGGAAGTCTCTTTCCACAAAACCCATTTCAGAGTGACAGAAGAAGCATCTGCTCTGTGATAATATTGGGGACCTGATCACATCTCTCAGCATTGGGCAGATCATCTAGGCAACAAGTTAACAGAGTAGCCATTATTCTTTCAGAAGGAGAGAAGAAATCTAGGGTAATTAGAGGGGGGAGGGGGAGGAAATGGGGGAAGGGGAGAGGTTGGACAAGGGGTATAAAGAATAATTACAATTTGTAACAATATGTATGCTAGTAATATTGATTTAATCAACATATCTCAATGTTCAACCCCAAAAATATGTATAATCAATTTTGATTTAATAAATTTAAAAAAGT